TGCTGCTGAGAGTGGTTTCTGTGGAGCCACAAGGAGCTGGGCACAGCCACATATTCAGGTCTCAAAACCCAATGCCTCTTCCAGACACTTCTTTTATTTTCCCAGCTTCTCTCCTGCAGCTCTCATTCCATCTGGAACACCGATGGCAATGAAGAACCCTTTCCCTGAGCTATAAAAGGGATTTTTTAAGCAAAAAATGGCCATGGTTGGGAGTAGGGAAGTTTAATTTATGTGTTCCAGGCTTCAACTGGAAGCACATTCCTTAATGAAAAGGCTCTCCTGCCTCTCAGAGATGATTGCCTTGGGATCAAAGGTGAGCTGGGCGCTGCCTCCTCTGGGCTGCAGGGAAGCAAATTCCCTCAGCAGTTCTCAAATGTCTGTTATTCCTGGAGACWGAGGGGCTGCAGTTAAAAACAGAGAAATGAGGTCCGTTGTGGGCCAGCTGAAATCCCAGATTTGGGTGGTGCACACCCAGTTTGAGGGGATTGAAGGATGGATTTAATACCTGAGTTATGGCTGTGAACACTCTCTGGTTGAGCTGAGGATGGCAATGTGAAAGAATTGTAATTTAGTGAAATCTTGCTGTTCTCTGGGGTRGATAATTCTTAAAATGAAGATTAATCTGATCCTTTTGACAGGGAATGAACCCTGAGGTGTCTCCTGTGCTGTGTTTTGGGTTCAGGGGAGTGTTTGTGCGAGCTCTGTGGTGCCCAGGCTGATCTCTGTGCTCTCCTCTGGCACTTTTGGGGGTAAAACACAGTGAATACAGTGGTTTTGACAGCAACTCTGTGCTCTGAGGAATTCTGAATGAGTTTTGCCCAAATATTCACTGTGACAGCCTCTGTTTGCTGTAGAATCCCCATCCCTGGAGGTGTCCAAGGAAGGACAGGACAGAAACCTTAAAACCCTGAAAAAAAAAACCTAAAACCCTGAAATCAATCCTTCTTTTCCCTGGGGCAGGTGAGGTTGGAATCCATTACAATTACAATGGGATAAAGTTTGCCAGTTCCTGGTGGGTTCTAGAAGTTCTGAGCCTTGGCTCACTCTGAGCTTGGTGATAAAACTCAGGTTTAAAAATTGATCTCCTGCTTTTGGCAACTTTTAAATTCAATTGATCCCAGCAGTTCTTGTACAAGCCAAGGAGCTGAGTGGCATCTGCCCTGGAAAACGGGTAAAATTCAGTTATCTTATAACATTTAGCTTTAAATGAAAATATTTAAATAAATTGTTTTTCCTGGCTGCTCAGTAATAGCTGAATACCTGCTCAGGTACCCTGAGGTTGCACTTCCCAGATTTTGGGCTTCTTTTCCARCAGCAATTTTATGTTTTTTGTAACGGAAGAGTGAGCTGATAGAAATGCAGAATAAAACATGAGCAGCTTCTCACTTTTCCTAATCAGSTTTGCTTTGTCTTTGTGTGGCTGAACAATCAGCAGGACACTATTTATGGGACAATTTCTTAATCAGAAACATTWAAATGACTTTTTGTTATTGTCCTTGTCAATCATCACTTTCTAAAAATAATTCATGAAATGCTTTCTTTTCTGCTGATTGTTTTGGTCAGGAGATATTTTTGAAACTGGAATTAAAGGTATCTGAATTAATACTTTTAAAATTTACTTTAGAAAGCTTCATTCACATTTTTAAAGCAGAATGACCAAAGGGAAGCACCTGGAGTGACTCAGATTGTCACCAGTTCTTCCAAGAGCTGCTGAGGTTTTATCCTCCATCTCCTCTTTTTCACACAAAAGTGCACTTTCCTACTTTGGAAATTCTGTTGGCTTTGAATGGCCTTGCAATGGAAGTGATGTGAAGCAAAACACCCAATTCTTGCTACATAATTTTTAAAAAGCTGTTTTAGCACTTCCTCTTTGTGTTCCTCCCATGACTTTGACCACCTCAGGGTCAGAACTTTGCTTGGAAGACCCAAAACTGAAAATAAAACAGGAATTTACGCAAAGGCGTAAAGTTTTCCACGTCTCAAGCTTCATTTTCACCACATTAAATGCACTTGATCTTAAAATTATCAGCGTGCAAAAGGCCACAGTTAATGCTGGGTTTTGGTTAAGCCTCTCTGAGGGTGAGCTGCTGTCCCACCCTCAAGGTCAGGGGGTTTGAAGTTGTGTTTTGTCTCTTCCAGCTGCTTTTTGTGCTGCCTTTTTATTATCTGAGCTAATCTTTTTTGTCRCTGGGGTTGTTTTCTTTCTTTTCCAGAACCTGTCTGCTCAGTCCGGTGGTTTCAGGCTTTTGTGTCAGGCTTGGGTCTCCTYTTGGGCTTCTTGGGGTTGTGGTCACCCTGTGACACCAATGCTGTGGTGAACTGATGGCTCTTTAATTATTCGAGGGGAGGAAAAGAATTAAAAAATAGAAAAAGCAAATTCAAAGACTTTGTTGGTTGTACTGAGCAGCGAGCAATAAATGAGCAAAACTCTAATCCAAGCAGAATTACCAAAACAGGTGAAAACTGGAATTCTGGGGGTGTGGGAGCAAACAAAATTTAGAGATAAACAGAGCATTAAAATCACCTTGTGCTCAGAGCTGGTGTTATCAATTTGATGGACACTTTTTTCCTTCCCTCCTCAGTTCCACAGAATAATGAGAAGCTTCAGGAAAGTCCGTGCATTTTTGCATTAACACCAAGACAAGTGGAGCTGATCAGAAATTCCAGGTACTGCTCGCTGGGTATTAACAATTGAGGACAATCCAGCTGCATAATTCCATAATTCCTCCCTGTGGAAGCTTTTKTTCTCTGCGAGGAAGCAGAATTTGGTTGAGGACAAAGCAAATTTGAGGGGAGCAGGAGATACAAATTCATTTGAGTTTCACTTGTGTCTCTCTAAAGTCCCTCTGGAATGGTGCATTTGGGCAGGAGGAGCAAAATGAAATCATCAATGACCTGAATTCTCCGGTGGTGGGGAGCTCTGCTGGTTTTCCTTTGCTCCCCAGTTCAAACTGCACAGTTCGAGGCTTTTTGCATCTGAAAGGAAACTTCCTCGATGGGAAGGSTGTAGGAACTGCCCCAGGAAATAGGATTTACCCTGACCTCTGCTGAGATGCAATTTTGGACTCAAACAAAGCCTCTCCTCAGAGGGCAGGGAGCTTTCCTCTTGGCTGACCTGCTCCCTTGCTCTTTGATGCAGAAGAATTCCTCCGAAAATTCGGCGTAAAACCTTTAAACATTTCTCTTTATGGTAAAACAAAAGAGCTGGAGAAAGAATATCTTGGTTATTTTGCCTCCTGWTAAAATGCCCTTGTTCTGCCTTCCCTTTTTTTCCTGATTCCAGTTAAAATCCTGCCCTGTTGAAGGTTGCAATATTCACAGGGGTGCCTTAATACTCAGTCCCTTGGTTTGCATGAACAGCTTTAGCTGAATAATTAAACACAGAGAGTCTTGAACAYTGTCAGGTAAACCTGACCTTAAAACCCAGTTTTTAGAAATTCTCACAAATCACCGGAAGGCACCTGAACAGTTTTAAAAACCCAGACAAAAGCTGGGGGTTGGTGCATCAGGAAGGAAAAAAATAATAATTACAGGACCACTGATATTTGCAGGGGGAATTGTACAATTTAAATAAGGATCTGTGAGGTAATTTTTTAAAGGTCTATTAAAAAAATTAGGAACAACTACAGTTCTTGAGTCTGGCAGCTGGTTTGAGTGATTTTTTTGGGGTAGGTTGTTTTTTCTGCATAATTAATCAGAAGTTTCTGTTCTTTAATTTCCCAGGGAGTTGCAACCCGGTGTGAAATCRGTTCAGGTGGTGCTAAGGTAGGTCTGGTGTGGGTTCATTGAACATCAGGGGCAGAGCAGGGGAGGAGGGAACATTCCAGCAAAACCCAGCAAGTTTCAACAYGGATTTCATGACTCCAGAGATAATTTCCAGTGAACTGTTTGTTCCTGGGCCTCACAGAAGCTTCTGAAACTTTGCTTTTGAACCTGGAGCGGAAACAGCAGAGTCACCCCTGGATGGGCTTTGCTGGGGGATTTGGGATTGGGATTGGGCCTGTGGGAGTGGGGATGTGCAGAGTGCTGGGATGTTGAGGAGGTGTTTTTTGCCCCCAGAATCTGCTACACAGACACCAGTTCCCCTCAGGAGGATCAGTACCCTCCCAACATCGCCGTCAAGGTGAACCACAGCTACTGCTCCGTGCCGGTAAGGACCTGGCGGGGTTGGGAGGAAAATCTGGGGGATATGGGAGGAAATTTGGGCAATTTGGAAGGAAATTCTGATGAATTCCAGAGCATGGAAGTGCAGTGCTGGGTTCAAAGGATTAGCTGTGTTGTTAATGAACTGTTCTGTATAAAGACTCAACCCTGTTTGCTGTGAATTGTGTTCAGCTCCTTCTCCCCCCATCCTCAACACTTGGGGCTGAGTGGAATTTAACAGAGCTGATCYACCTGGAGTAAAAACTAAATATCTGCATTGAATCTCTCTGCTTTAGGGCTACTACCCATCCAACAAACCCGGGGTGGAGCCCAAGAGGCCCTGCAGACCCATCAACCTCACCCACCTCATGTACCTGTCAGCAGCCACCAACCGCATCACGGTCACTTGGGGCAACTATGGCAAGGTGAGAACCCAAAAAACCCCCAGAGCTGCCCAGGCAGCCCTGCAGAGCAGCCTGCTCATCCTGTGCCTTCCTTCTCCCCAGAGCTACTCGGTGGGGCTGTACCTGGTGCGGCAGATGACCTCAGCAGAGCTGCTGCARAGGTTGAAAACCATCGGCATCAAACACCCGGAGCTCTGCAAAGCGCTCGGTGAGTGCAGCCTGAGCAACAACCACCACCATTTTGTATTTTTGCTTTYCTCCAGCTCACTTTTTATCTGAACAGATTTGCTGAGCTGTGTGTGTGAAGTCCCCCCCAAATCCGTGGTTCTGCAGCAGCTCTGTAGTTGAATTTAGGATTTGTCCCAGGTCGTGCCGAGCCGCTGTCGTTGTGACTGGAAGGGCTTCATGCCTTCACCTGAGTCAGTGTGAGCTGCAAATTGACCCTCGTGATTCCCAAAGGAGGTTTCTGGAGCCAGGGATCCTGGTGACAATGTCCTGCTGCCCCAGTGCCCGGGGGATCCTCGGGGCTGGCACTGACATTTCACCTGCAGCACTTTGATATGCCTTGAGAGCTTCAGAGAAGAGATGGTCCCCAGAGATGCTTATCCCAAACCACTCAGGTAAATCATCCTGSTATGAGGGTGTAAAACAGTTCTGGAAATAAGGGGAAATTACCTTTCCAAGGTGGAGCTCATCAGTTTTTCATATTGCTGGACAAAACCTTCTCACTGTTCAGTTCTGCCTGGGAGAGCTGCCCCCGTGGATCCTGATGGTCTTTAGAACTGTCCAGATCCTGGAAAACTCCTGCCAAGGATAAAAAATCAGGGAATCCCAGAATGGTTTGGSTTGGAAAGGACCTTAAAKCCCRTCCAGTGCCACCCCTGCAGTTGCAGTTCCCAAGGAAGGTGATCCAGGTGTATTCAGCCTTCAAACACCTGGATTTCAGGGCACAGATCAGTTCTATTTGGTGACTTTAAATAAAACCAAATAAGAGCAATGTCTTATTTCAGCTCCTTGGGGTTTTACTGCTTGGAATTTGTTTGGATATCCAGAACTGGCCAACCTGAGGAGCTCCTAATCTTTGCTTTTCTAGCTCTGGTCTGTTCTGCAAATAATTCCCTGTCACTGAAACTGCCCTTTGGCTTCGGTCACATCTTGCTGCTGACTCATCTTCCTTTGCATAAAATTCTGCAGAATTTAATACAGGAACATTGTCTGAGGACAGATTATGGCTTTGGATGCCAAACAAAGATCTTTGGATCTCAGTCCTGATCAGGAGAGCCCAGAAAATTCTCCTGCCCACATCTCCCAGTAATTGATGCACAGAGAAAGCTCTTACAAAGAACTTCATGAAAAATTAAGCTTGGATGAAAAGGCTCCTAATGTGAGGAAAACAAGCCCAAATCTTGTAATCTCCTGGGAATTTCACATCTGAGAAGTCACTCTCTAATTAAAGCTGGGTGTTGCAGAGCTGCGTGTAGCCTCATTGTCTGGAGACATCTTGTTATGATCTGAAAAGGTCAAAAGAAATGGTTGATTTGCTCCAAAGAAAAATGGTGATGGAAGTGTCAGAGGCTGTTGCAGACAGCAGTGGGAGCAGCAGCTCCTCCTCAGGAGTTGGGGAGCAGTTCAAAGCTCGTTTGGTTGATTTTTTCACCTCGGTGTGGGACCTGCACACGTGGGACCTGCCCATCTGCTGCTTGCTTTGATTTCCCTGCAGCTCCTCTGGGTTTTCCTCTCAGGCTGCAGCAGCAGGGGTGGGATTGCTCCTTCCCTACCATCTAATTGTTCCCAAAGCTGTGCTGGGTGGCTGCTGTGGTTGGTTTTGCGTGGCTGCMTTGCTCTGAGCTGGGTACCTGTGGCTTTGTTTGTGGCTCCTGTGGAATGTCCTGCTGCAATAAAGGAGCTGGCCAGAGTAGAAACCCAAAGTGAGAGCYCAGCAGTGCTAAGAAAAGGCTGGGTAACCTGACAGAAAAAGGATGGGATGAGTTTTCCCTCTCAATTTGGCTGTTTGCTCACTTTTGGGGGGACTTGCTGCAAATTGAAAGTGCCAGGAGGAGACTGAGGAGGGAATAAACCCCACTGTGCTTAGGCTGGAGCTGAATCCATCTGCTCATTCCCTCCCTGGCTGGGAAAATGATCCATACACAGCCAGGGGCTGAGGTTGAGCTGTTCCCCCAGCGGTGCCAAGGCTGAGCTGTGGTAAATGTTGTGCCCTCTGCTCTCCCTGCAGTGAAAGAGAAGCTACGCCTGGACCCCGACAGCGAAATCGCCACCACGGGCGTTCGAGTGTCCCTCATCTGTCCGGTGCGTCCCT